GTTGATAATGCTTCTGTAGTTTGTGCTGTACTTGCCTCAGTTCTCTCGGCTGTTGTTCTAAATAGTTCTGTAGTTTGGGTTGCTGTACTTGCCTCAGTTGTCTCAGCTGTTGTTCTAAATAGTTCTGTAGTTTGGGTTGCTGTACTTGCCTCAGTTCTCTCGGCTGTTGTTCTAAATAGTTCTGTAGTTTGGGTTGCTGTACTTGCCTCAGTTGTCTCAGCTGTTGTTCTAAATAGTTCTGTAGTTTGGGTTGCTGTACTTGCCTCAGTTCTCTCGGCTGTTGTTCTAAATAGTTTTGTAGTTTGGGTTGCTGTACTTGCCTCAGTTGTCTCAGCTGTTGTTATTTCTGTAGTTTGTGCTGTACTTGCCTCAGTTCTCTCGACTGTTGTTATTTTTGTAGTTTGTTCTGTACTTTCCTCGGTTGCTCCAGCTATAGTTTCTGTAGTTTGTGCTGTACTTGCCTCAGTTGTCCCAGCTGTTGTTCTAAATAGTTCTGTAGTTTGTGCTGTACTTGCCTCAGTTGTCAAGGCTGTTCTAAATAGTTCTGTAGTTTGGGTTGCTGTACTTGCCTCAGTTGTCCCAGCTGTTGTTATTAGTTCTGTAGTTTGTGCTGTACTTGCTGCAGTTGTCTCAGCTGTTGTTATTTCTGTAGTTTGTGCTGTACTTGCCTCAGTTGTTTCAGCTGTTGTTACCTCAGCAGTTTGAGCTGTGCTTTCCTCAGTTATATCAGCTGTTGCTATTTCTGTAGTTTGTTCTGTGCTTGCCTCGGTTGTCCCAGCTGTTGTTACCTCAATAGTTTGAGCTGTACTTTCCCCAGTTGTCTCAGCTGTTGCTATTTCTGTAGTTTGTGCTGTACTTGCCGCAGTTGTCACAGATGTTATGATTTCTGTAGTTTGTGCTGTACTTGCCGAAGTTGTCCTTAGTTCTGTTGTTTGAGCTGTAATTTTTGTAGTTTGTTCTGAACTTGCCTCAGTTGCCCCAGTTGTTGTTATTTGTATAGTTTGAGATGTACTTGCCGCAGCTGTCCCGGTTGTCCTCAGTTCTGTAGTTTCAGCTGCTGTTATTTCTGTTATTTGAGTTGTACTTGCCTCAGTTGTCTCAGTCGTTGTTATTTTTGTAGTTTCTTCTGCTATAGTTGTCTCGGGGACCTCAGTTGTTGCAATAGTTGTTGTTTCTATTGCAATTTCTGTCGTTTGAGCTGTACTTCCCTCAGTTGTCCCAGGTGTTGCTATTTCTGTAGTTTGAGCTGTACTTGCTGCAGCTGTCCCAACTGTTGTTATTTTTGTTGTTTCTTCTACTATAGTTGTATCAGAGGCCTCAGTTGTTGCAATTGTTGTTGTTTCTGCTGCTATTTCTGTCGTTTGAGCTGTACTTGCCTCAGTTGTTGCTATTTCTGTAGTTTGTACTGTAATGTCTGTCGTTTGAGCTGTACTTGCCTCAGTTGTCCCAACAGTTTTCATTTCTGTAGTTTCTTCTACTATTGTTGTCTCAGGGGCCTCAGTTGTTGCAATAGTTGTTGTTTCTATTGCAATTTCTGTCGTTTGAGCTGTACTTCCCTCAGTTGTCCCAGATGTTGCTATTTCTGTAGTTTGAGATGTACTTGCTGCAGTTGTTTCAGATGTTGTTATTTCTGTGGTTTCTTCTAAAATAGTTGTTTCAGGGACCTCGGTTGTTGCAAAGCTCGTTGTTTCTATTGTAGTTTCTGTAGTTTGAGCTGTACTTGCTGCAGTTGTTTCAACTGTCGTTATTTCCGTAGTTTCTTCTACTATAGTTGTCTCAAGGGCCTCAGTTGTTGCAATAGTTGTTGTTTCTATTGCAATTTCTGTCGTTTGAGCTGTACTTGCCTCAGTTGTTGCTATTTCTGTAGTTTGTACTGTACTTGCTGCAGTTGTACCAGATGTTGTTATTTCCGTGGTTTCTTCTACTATGGTTGTCTCAAGGGCCTCGGTTGTTGCAATGTTCGTTGTTTCTATTGCAATTTCTGTCGTTTGTGCTGTACTTGCCTCAGTTGTTTCAGATGTTGTTATTTCTGTGGTTTCTTCTATAATAGTTGTTTCAGGGACCTCGATTGTTGCAAAGTTCGTTGTTTCTATTGTAGTTTCTGTAGTTTGAGCTGTACTTGCTGCAGCTGTCCCAACTGTTGTTATTTTTGTTGTTTCTTCTACTATAGTTGTCTCAGAGGCCTCAGTTGTTGCAATTGTTGTTGTTTCTGCTGCTATTTCTGTCGTTTGAGCTGTACTTGCCTCAGTTGTTGCAATTTCTGTAGTTTGTACTGTAATGTCTGTCGTTTGAGCTGTACTTGCCTCAGTTGTCCCAACTGTTTTCATTTCTGTAGTTTCCTCTACTATTTTTGTCTTAGGGACCTCAGTTGTTGCAATAGTTGTTGTTTCTATTGCAATTTCTGTCGTTTGAGCTGTACTTCCCTCAGTTGTCCCAGATGTTGCTATTTCTGTAGTTTGAGATGTACTTGCTGCAGTTGTTTCAGATGTTGTTATTTCTGTGGTTTCTTCTATAATGGTTGTTTCAGGGACCTCGGTTGTTGCAAAGTTCGTTGTTTCTATTGTAGTTTCTGTAGTTTGAGCTGTACTTGCTGCAGCTGTCCCAACTGTTGTTATTTCCGTAGTTTCTTCTACTATAGTTGTCGCAGAGGCCTCAGTTGTTGCAATTGTTGTAGTTTCTGCTGCTATTTCTGTCGTTTGAGCTGTACTTGCCTCAGTTGTCTCAGTCGTTGTTATTTCTGTAGTTTCTTCTGCAATAGTTGTCTCGGCGACCTCAGTTGTTGCAATAGTAGTTGTTTCTATTGCAATTTCTGTCGTTTGAGCTGTACTTGCCTCAGTTGTCCCAACTGTTTTCATTTCTGTAGTTTCTTCTACTATTGTTGTCTCGGGAACCTCAGTTGTTGCAATAGTTGTTGTTTCTATTGCAATTTCTGTCGTTTGAGCTGTACTTCCCTCAGTTGTCCCAGATGTTGCTATTTCTGTAGTTTGAGATGTACTTGCTGCAGTTGTTTCAGATGTTGTTATTTCTGTGGTTTCTTCTATAATAGTTGTTTCAGGGACCTCGGTTGTTGCAAAGTTCGTTGTTTCTATTGTAGTTTCTGTAGTTTGAGCTGTACTTGCTGCAGCTGTCCCAGCTGTTGTTATTTTTGTTGTTTCTTCTACTATAGTTGTCTCAGAGGCCTCAGTTGTTGCAATTGTTGTTGTTTCTGCTGCTATTTCTGTCGTTTGAGCTGTACTTGCCTCAGTTGTTGCTATTTCTGTAGTTTGTACTGTAATGTCTGTCGTTTGAGCTGTACTTGCCTCAGTTGTCCCAACAGTTTTCATTTCTGTAGTTTCTTCTACTATTGTTGTCTCAGGGGGCCTCAGTTGTTGCAATAGTTGTTGTTTCTATTGCAATTTCTGTCGTTTGAGCTGTACTTCCCTCAGTTGTCCCAGATGTTGCTATTTCTGTAGTTTGAGATGTACTTGCTGCAGTTGTTTCAGATGTTGTTATTTCTGTGGTTTCTTCTATAATAGTTGTTTCAGGGACCTCGGTTGTTGCAAAGTTCGTTGTTTCTATTGTAGTTTCTGTAGTTTGAGCTGTACTTGCCTCAGTTGTCCCAGTTGTTGCTATTTCTGTACTTGCTGCAGTTGTGCCAGATGTTGTTAGTCCTGTGGTTTCCGCTGTAACAGCTGTGAATGCTGTTGTACTCATTCCCTCCGTTTCTGTTATTAAAGCTGTAGTTGCTGTTGTACCCATTTCCTCCGTTTCAGTGGTTACATCTGTAGATGCTGTTGTACCCATTCCCTCCGTTTCAGTGGCTACAGCTGTAGACGCTGTTGTGGTCATTGCTTCAGTTTCTGTTTCTGATGTTACAGCTGTAGACGCTGTTGTACCCATTCCCTCCGTTTCAGTGGTAACAGCTGTAGACCCTGTTGTGGTCATTGCTTCAGTTTCTGTTTCTGAGGTTACATCTGTAAACGCTGTTGTAACCATTCCCTCCGTTTCAGTGGTAACAGCTGTAGACGCTGTTGTGGTCATTGCTTCAGTTTCTGTTTCCGTGGTTACAGCTGTAAATACTGTTGTACCAATTCCCTCTGTTTCTGTTGTTAAAGCTGTAGTTGCTGTTGTACCTATTCTCTCTGTTTCAGTGGTTACATCTGTAGACGCTGTTGTGGTCATTCCCTCCGTTTTTGTGATTACATCTGTAAATGCTGTTGTACCCATTCCCTCCGTTTCAGAGGTTACATCTGTAGATGCTGTTGTACCCATTCCCTCCGTTTCTGTGGTTACAGCTGTTGATGCTGCTGTACCTATTCCCTCTGTTTCAGTGGTTACATCTGTAGACCCTGTTGTGGTCATTGCCTCAGTTTCTGTTTCTGAGGTTACAGCTGTAAATGCTGTTGTACCCATTCCCTCAGTTTCTGTGGTTACATCTGTAGATGTTGTTGTACCCATTCCCTCTGTTTTTGTGGTTACAGCTGTAGAAGGTGTTGTGGTCACAGCTTCAGTTTCTGTTTCTGAGATTACAGTTGTAAATGCTGTTGTACCCATTCCCTCCGTTTCTGTTGTTAAAGCTGTAGTTGCTGTAGTACCCATTCCCTCCGTTTCTGTGGTTACAGCTGTTGATGCTGTTGTATCCTTTCCCTCAGTTTCAGTGGTTACATCTGTAGACGCTGTTGTGGTCATTCCCTCCGTTTCTGTGATTACATCTGTAGACGCTGTTGTACCCATTCCCTCCGTTTCTGAGGTTACAGCTGTAGATGCTGTTGTACCCATTCTCTCTGTTTCAGAGGTTACATCTGTAGACGCTGTTGTACCCATTCCCTCAGTTTCTGTGGTTACAGCTGTAGATGCTGTTGTGGCCATTCCCTCAGTTTCAGTCGTTACATCTGTAGACGCTGTTGTGGCCATTGCTTCAGTTTCTGTTACTAATGTTACAGCTGTAGATGCAGTTGTACCCATTCCCTCAGTTTTTGAGGTTACAGCTGTAGATGCTGCTGTACCCATTCCCTCCGTTTCAGAGGTTACAGCTGTAGATGCTGTTGTAACCATTCCCTCAGTTTCTGAGGTTATAATTGTGGATGCCTCAGTAGATACGGCTGGTGTATCAACTGTTGTAGTCATTGCCGTTGTTTCCTGGGTAACAACTTCAGTCAAGGTCGTTACATCGGTTGCTGTAGCTATTTTCTCTGTTGTTAAATTTGTTACAGCTCTTGATGTCACAGTAGGGACGTTTGTGGTACCTATTTCTGTGACGCTTTCTGTGGTTAGTTGATCAGAGTTTGTAGTTGCTGTGTTAACAGTTGTTAACATGTCCGTTGCTGTTGTCTCCGGCGCAGAGGTTTGAGATGTTCCCGGTGTGGTACCATTAGTTTGCCCTGCAACTGTAAGTTGTATAATTTTCTCAAACTCGGCTGGCATATTATCATAGTAGTCTCCACCAGACTCCTTTGCAGGCTGAATAAATATTAGAAATTGGCCTAAAATCAATGTAGCTAGCCAATGGAACTTAGTCGTCGATGCAGGCAAATTGGACCCTCTATGGCCGGCTTAGTCCCTTGGCCATCTACATTGATTTTTAGGCCGATTTCTACTACTAGTATTTATTCGGTCTACAAAGGAGTCTGATGGAGAATATTATCATACGCTATTACACCAAAAGCTAAAACTTGGCTTTTAGTAAATCCTGCTTCTGCTGTCTCCGTTTTAGAGTCTTATGCCTTTCATGTCTAAGCAAGGACGTACCAATGATCAGAGTGTTGGGGTGTAACAGGTTACCTGCCTATATGTGGTTTAAGCTTATTGTCTCACAGTGTTATAACTTCATATGCATGTTTTTTGCCCGAGGGCCACAAAGCCACAAGGCCCCCGACTGAGTACCACTTTGGGTGGTTGGGTGACGGATACACTACCATATGAGTGAAAATCAAGCAGATGTCAGGAGGGAAAGACTGGCCGGGTGAAACAAGAGGTGACGCAACTCTTAACCGCACGTAAGTGCTAACAAACTATTACAGAATATCTCTTCTCCGTTAGGAAGAGCTCGTGATACATTACAATTGTGTATCCAGTCTTATTAGCACTAGTCCTTATAACCTATGCAAGTCATTCCACGAAGGTGGTCGATTATTTAAGTCACACACCGTCATCACACTAACGTCACACAACCAGCTAATCCAACACTGGCCCCTGGCCAGCTTGTTGAAAAGCATTTATTGTTTCGTCAGTTCCGTCAACGTCTCTTTTCCTACAATACTAAACTTGGAACAGGTGTTAAGTATCCGTGCGTCGATGTGTGCTTACTGTGTAACCGTTAAGTAGGGATTATTGACTCTGACTGTGAACAAAAGGTGTGCCTGTAAAGGTTGTGTGAGTTGTAACGTGGTTCGACCGGTTTTTACGTGACAGGGGATAAGGCGAGTCACGGCTGGACTGTCACCGTATGTTTGTTGCCCGGCGGACAGTTTCAGTGGCGTCATGTTTCACCTCACCTCCTCACCTATTCATTTACCCCTGTGGGGGTCGTTGAGGCACCATGAAGAGGCCATTATTTTTTTCTTTAACTCTGTTCTCTGTTACTCTTAGTGTTTCATCTTTCCAACCTCTAAATACTTCCCGGTGGTTTGAAATCTCGGAAAGTGTTTTCTACCAAGGCCTATAATTTACTGCTTCAATAGACACAATACACACCATGTCCCGAGAACCAAAGAAAAATCCTCACATTGTCAACTATATGGCCAAGTCGAATTATGCTTGCGTCAATGGGGTAAATTTTCGGCACCGAGCAGAAGCGGTCGCTCGCCATGGCCAGGTGGTCGGTTTGAAGAGTGTTCACCAGCGCATGAATATGTTTGACTGTAATTATTATTCCAACCCAAGTGAGTGGATATAGGTTAGCGAGAAAGGATTCGTACCCTGCCACATGTATGAAGTGTTCAGTAGCAGGTTTTTAGGCTGATCATTTCCACCATATATAAGATAAACGACATTAAAAGGTAAAAAAAAAACTCATGACTAGTTAATAATAGGGGTCTCTATCAAGATAATGAAAATACGGAATTCGAATACCCTTGGTAGCCTCCGCCTGGCGTTCCTAAGGGGCTACGGATCACAGAATATTCGGCGAAAAAAGGAAGTCTTCTTAGAATAATTGGCCAGGAGAGTCAATACTCGGAAAGATTCATTTTCACCCCTCAGAGGCACGGGCGAATAAACTCTGTGTTGGCCCTAACTCCCCTATGGTGGCCATTTATTTTTCATTCAGAACAACAGTGATAAATACAAATGAAAGGACGCGATCAAGTTAGGCACAACTTATATTTTTGCAACCACTTTTACAATGAAAAATAAAGGTATTCTACAAGGCGTTTGGAAAAGTGTGGATACATAAGAGACTAGTTGAAGCGTGAGTCAAACCTCCCATCCCAGAAGAAAGAAAAATGAAGGCAAAACAGGACACATATAGCTAAATGACCAATTTTTCTCCCTAGGGAGACGAAATAGTTCCCTATTTCGCTAAACTTTCCTGTTTTAGAACCCGTGATGTAAGTCACGGGTAACTAGGTAAGACGACACAGGTCATTAGGGAGGATGTTTGCCAAACTAATCTGAAGCGGAAAAATCCTACCCGCAGAATCGAGAGGGTGAAGCAAATAAAGTGCTATTCACCACTGTGACCATTGGTACACAGACTCCAGCGCATTAGTCTACGTGAATTTGATGAATGATATTTGACATTACTATATCTGTTTAAAAATAGAAATATTTTCCTGTGTACCTACACACTCTGTCTTGAACGTCGCAACCCTGAGTCCTTGATTTTTTAAAACTCAGTCTTAAAGACGCTGCTCTTTTAACTTTCACTTTTGACTGGTTAAAATATAATAGATTTTACCACTTGATTGATTGGCGTAATATTTTGTAAATTCTGTTTAGTCAGCTGACTGCCATTGTCAGATGTGTGAGTGCTCAATAAACCAATCACCATCAGTCTAGTACTGGTTGTGACAGCATTGAGTGTGTTGTAGCTTATTTGCACGCAGGTTACATGGCCGGTAGAAACAGGACTCGGGAGATTTCAAACACTGGGACGTACTTAGAGGCGCTAAACGTGACACCGAGCCACCAACTCAGCACATTCTCACAAAGCACAATACCCAAGATTTCATTCATATACAAATAACAGAATCAAAAGAGAGGATACAAACACATATTTAGATAGACGATGCCTGAAAATGAAACCCTTTGCAGAAGACTTTCACGCCTAGCAACAGTAGACAACAACTTATATTCATCAATGGTAGTTAAGGTAATTAGAGGCAGTTAAGTGCGGTGTTATGTTTTGTAAACAATACCGAACTTTATAATGGTAGCAAATAAAGTGATTTTGAACTTAATGATGGTAGTAAATGAAATTACTGTACTTGGCCTTTATTTACGACCATTGTAAAGGCATGTACTGTTTGCATATTAAACATTATCCCACTTTAGTGGCATTTCTAAGATTCGCAAAGCCAACTTTTCGTGCAGTCAAACCTCTGGTTCTGAAAAAATCTGTATTTGACATAATATAAACGACACATCTTCCCAAAACCTACGCCTAAACTTAGTTTCCTACCTTCTTCTTACCTATACATACTATAGCCCCACAAGTAATGTTGTCTGTGCCCCCTTTCTTTCTTCCCAGGGGACACTGCGAAAACTGAACCATGCGAGGGTATTCAATGGAACTAATTACACTTTCATTAACTACCTTTCATACCCCACATACTGGCACAACGTACTTTAATACAATCGCTACTTCCTGCTGACGCCGAACAAACCAGTCTATTTACAAATACAATACGCCCTTTCTGGGGTACGATAGAAAAGAGTTTACTAGTATGTCTGCGTTTTTTTTTTGGGGGGGGGGTTGAAAACACTTCGTAGATCAACTACAGAAAAGCACAGGGTATGCTGACATTGATTATCGTCAGCCAGTAATTGCATTAAGTCATAATCCTCAGTCAGTGACGCTTACTAGGATTAGCAGGTACTTCTAACTTTTTCAAGTCGTATTTTAGCTTTCTCGGTTAGGCTGAACGACGTTGCACGAGTGTACTTTTATTATAGTGTAACAAAGCTAAGGTTACGCAATCTATAAAATGTTTCTTGGTTTGAGCGTGGGTAAAGGCAACTCAACATAGGAAGAATATATAATTTTTATCACTCAAAGCTCCTGTATCAGGTACATGTTATTATATTAAACAAAAGTCAGAACACCAAATAGGGGAGTGTGCGTTGGTGGTCACAAGAGAAAATATCACAGCCATATGTAAATTTTACTACATTTAAGATTTAGACTTAACTTTCCATGCACCCTTTCCTTTGGGTGTGGCACATGACAAGCCGTTTGCAAGGTATGGAAAGTCCGAACTTAGAAAAGGAAGTTTGCTTAACGTGCAGTAACTAAGCCCCTCCGATTCCTAAAATGAAAACAAAACTCACCTAAAGCCTTCTGTTCTTGTGAGAAGAAAAATCCCAATAGAATCAGGTAGTAGATCGGCCATTTTCCGCCGACGTTTCCTTGAGTTCGCAGCAGTATCTGTCCTGTTTGTGAGCCCCCCATTTTTACCGGGCTCGGGAGTTGACTATCTATCCACAGGAAACACGTCTAGTTTCACCCAACGAGGTAACAAAATCCTAGTTTCAATGCCTCTTGTTGCCGAGAGTCCGTAGTGGTGGTTTCTTGTGCCGCTGTCGGTAAGGGACGTCCTCTCTCTCTGTTACAGTCTGGACATGAACGCTCGCGCACTTGTAAATAGGGATAGTTCTGCGCCCGACTAGGAGATAGACCAGTTCTAATCCCACCTGTCTACTCCTCATGCAGGTCTGTACGGACCACGCCCAGCCCACGGCCGTGTGTAGGTTCTACGGTCTAGTGGGGACGCATAGATCTATGGGTAATGTTGCCCTTTCTCTCAATGAGTAAATGTCATTGACCTGTGGTCTTCTTGTAAGTTACAGATGCGGCTTTGTTACACTAGGTAGAAACAGGTGGTGGGGAGGGGGGCTTAAATTGTCTTAGATGTAAAGGTAAAGGTAGTCCCGTAGACTTTTGAACACCGTAGGGGCAGTGATGTGTTAATCCATGTCTAGGGCACGGTATTGGATGGCGGGGCCCATCCTTCTCTTTCCACCGCCTTTTACCTCCCCAACCGAAGTTAGGTACCTATTTTCCACTCGAGTGGAGGAAAGTCATGTAACGTGCCAAGGGTATGATCAGTGACATGTCAGGATTCGAACCGAGGATCCCTGTGTCCAGAGCCAAACACCCTGCCGTTACGCCACATGACCCCACTTCTTAGATGTAAAATGAATCTTCCCTTTTTGCTATACTGA